TGGGATGGAACCTCTTGGCAGTGGGATAAAAACATCTGGAAATGGGTCCAAACCACTTGGAAATGGACTGGGAATACCTGGGAATGGGATGGAACTCCTGGAAGTGGGATAGAAACGCCTGGAAATGGGATGGGAACACTTGGGAATGGGATGGAAGCACCTGGAAATGAGCTGGGAATACCTGGGGACCCCCCCAAAAAGGGGAGTTGAATAAAATTCCCTGTTTTTTGCCTTTTTTTAACCTGTTTTTACCTGTTTGGGGCTTTCGGGTGGAAAAAGGTGGGAAGAGGGTGGAAAAAAGGGGAAAAGGGAGGAAAAATGATGGAGAAAGGGTGGGGGAAGGCTGGAAAATGATGGAAATACTGTAAAAACAATATGGGAAAACAGTGGAAAAGGATGAGAAAGAGTAGGGAAAAGATGGAAAAGGGTAGGAAAAGGTGAAAAAAGTGGGAAAATAGTGGCAAACTGCAGAAAAAGACTGGGGAAAAGGCGGGTAAAGGATGAAAAAGGATGGAAAAAGGGTGGAAAAGGGTGGAAAAGGGTGAAAAATGGATGGAAAAAATGGTGAGAAGGGTGCAAAAAGGTGACGAAAAGGTGGAAAAGGGTGGGAAAAGGGTGGAAAAAAGTGGAGAAATTGTTGAAAACCGAGAGAAAATGCTGGAAAAAAGGTAGGTAAAGGATTTAAAAAGGGTGGGAAAAGGACGAAAAAGGATGGAAAAAACGATGTAAAAGGAGGGGAAAGGGACGGGATTTGCTGCAGATCCCCCGAAAAACGAACCTCAATCACAAGAAGGCGGTTCTGGGGAAGCCCCAAAAAACGCGGTAACCGACGAGGGTGGGATTCGAACCCACGCGTGCAGAGCACAATGGATTAGCAGTCCATCGCCTTAACCACTCGGCCACCTCGTCCGCGGCTGCGCACTCGCGCCCCGCGCCCATCTGGCTCCTGGAGGGGCGTGGCTTTAGCGTAAGGGGCGTGGATAGAGGCGTGGTCTCCAATCAGGGGGCGTGCTGTGGGCGTGGTTTACCCACCCCGGAAATGAGGGTTCGAATCCCGGGGGAGCCAAATCAGGGAAGCGGGGAGGGTTTTAAACACATTTTAAAAAATTAATAAATACATGAAATGAATAAATTAAATAAACAAACTAATAGAATAACATAAGTAAATAAAAATAAATAAATTAAAGGAATAAAGAGGTTAAATAAATAAATTAAGTTAATTAAATTATCAAAAGGAATAAATTAAATGAATAAATTAGATAAATGTGAATTAAAAAATTATATAAAAGATAAAAAAGAAATAAATTAACTAAATGGTTAAGTCAATCAATCAATCTATATATGTATATGTATAATAATACACAATAAATCGTGTATTTTTTTAAACTGCTCCGTTTTCGGCCCAGTTGAGCCCCACTCTAAGTAATTATGATTCATTTAAAGCAATTAAGGCCCTTTTCTTCAACAGCAGAGTGGCGCAGCGGGAGCGTGCTGGGCCCATAACCCAGAGGTCGATGGATCGAAACCATCCTCTGCTAGGGTTCTTTTTTCTCCCCCTCATTTCCTTCTTTCCCCCCCTAATTTTTACTTTTTTTTCCTTTTTTTCCCCTATTTTTTCCTAACTTTCCTTTTTTCCCTCTTTAATTTTCCTCATTGTCCTCCCCCTCCCATTTCCCCTCCTTTTCTGGGGTTGTAAAGGGGTTTTTCGGGGGCGTCTCTACACTCGGGGAGGTCCCAGGACAGGGATGGGGGTGGGAAAAGGGTTTTTTTGGGGGGCTTTCCGGCCTCAGGGGGTTCCGGAACACGTGTGTGTGGA